TGCACCCATGTCGTGCAATGCCTGCAGAGGTCAGAGGAGGGTGTTGGATCCCCTGGAACTGGAGTTACAGATGGTTGTCAGCTGCCACGAGGGTGCTGGGAATTGAACCTGGGTCCTCTGCAAGAGGTGCTTTTAACCACTGAGCCATCTCTCAGTGCTTTTAACCACTGAACCATCTCTCCAGCCCCAACATTTTTTTTTTCTATTATACCCTGATGAGGAAGACACGAGGCACATGCTTCTGTGATGTTGTAGAAGTGGGTTGAAGGCAATACTGAAAAGGCAAAGATGTAATGTTGACGGACTAGAACTGTTCTGCTTTGCTTCTTGTAAATCAGGCAAATGGATACTGTAGGAACATGAACCATAGATACACATCAGAGATATACATGTTGAATGTCAATGAGAAGTGATTATATGTAACGAATTCAGTAGTGGTAGAATTACAGTAACAGGTAACAGGTATGTCAATGGTTAAACATTTTTAAAACAAATGCTTACTAAATACTCAAGCACCTTATTTTAGTCTATCTTGAAAGCCCTTTTACCTCCATGGAAATTGACTCTCAGCAAGTTTCAGTCTAGTTAATCTGATTAATTTATTTTTTTAGCTAATGAAAAAGTGGAGACCGAAACAAAGACCAATATTATATATAGATATTAGCGAAAAGAAAAAAATAAATTTTAAGCATAAGTTAATTCAAAAGACGAATTTTAATTGTTTAACCCTATGAGTCAACTGAACAAAACCAAAAAACTAACAGCTATTCTATAATACTGTTGGACAGAATTCCAGTTCAAACATATGCATATTTCTGAAATTACTGGTACCTATAAAATGAGCTATGCCTTATTACCTAAGCTGTATTTAATGATGAATCCCCTTGCCCAGAGGCATGTATGGCAAAGCCAATGCACCAATTTCTTTTAAATCAGTAACTTAAAATATCAGAGTCTAAATATTCAGATCTTATAAATTCTACCAAACTTGATAAAACACTAATTCCATATAGTAGTCAACAAATAAATCTCATATAATGAAAGCAACCTGTAATAGACATTATCAATGACACAAAGTTTGCTGTCTAGGAAAGTCTTCTGTGTTCAGGACTCAACAATTGCTAGCAGCTACCAGAAATCTGAGATTGTGCAAGCATTCACATCCTGGGACAAGGTACAAAGTCATTAAACTGGTGAAAACATTTCTCATTTGGGAAGAAAAATGTTCTCACTGCAAAGCCTGGCTCATTAAATAAAATCCAAACTGCGTATTTATGAGAATTCACAATGGCTGCAAGTGACATTTTTTTGTGGAAAGGGCCAAAGGAACGTTCAGAGCTCCTAGATGCTAGAGCTTCTGAGAGGTACTGGAGTGGGTAGTAGCCATGTTTCCACTCTTGGGTTCAGTGAGCAGGTCACTAAGAAGCTTCTTCAGTAAGAAGACATGCTGATAATAGCTTTCTAACACTTGACACCACCCTAGGCTGGCCAAGCCTTACCTACCTGACCCATCTAAAGTGGGTGGCTGAGGGGACTCAGGATTCCCACCCAGAGATCTCTCTGCTGTCTCAAGCTACAAACATGTTCTGTTCTACTCTAAACAACCCTGTGCACAGAGGACCTTTGTCAGTCCAGCTGTTGTCAAGATGTGCAGCTACCCCATGCTGCTCACCAAACAAGCCCAAAGGAAAAATGCTTCTTTCAAGACTTACTGAATTGGCTTCTTTTTCCGAAGAAGGGCATGTATCGTTGCTTGCTGGATTCTTTGGTATAGCAAGTTCAGACTTCTTTGCTTTTGGCTCAGCTTTGCTTTCTTTGGCAACTGGTTTTGTCACAGATTTAGGGGGACTCCACTTGTTAGGCGATGGCCTGTGTACCAGTGCTGAGGAGGACTGGCCAGCTCCACTGTTGACCTCCCCATCTTCTGGAGGATGCTGGGGGGTGTTGAGTTTCACATAGTAGCCATGATACTGAGAATGCAGTTCCCCATTACTGGGGTTGGGGATGTGGTGGCGGCCAGAGTACTTAGACATGGTTGCTCCTAGTTCCTTTGAGGGAGCCTTTGACATCAAGGGCTTATTGACAATGGCTGTTACCTGCTCATCAGCCACACTCCTTTTATCTTGACTGAGTCTTGCCCCTGAGCTGGGGTTTTGCTTCTTTGTGGGCTTTGGGGAAGAAGGCTGGGGAGAGTGACGCTGTTTGGGACTTGCCTCTGGAGACCTGGGAGGTGTCGTGCCTTTGCGATAAAAATGAGGTGATTCCTTTGGTGTTGGTGGCTTTTCTGGTAACTTTTCTTCTGGGTTTTCTTTAACATCTACACCTTCCTGAAATCTTTGTTTGATATAATCAGGGCCTGGAAATAAAAATACAAAGGTCAGGAAGGTAATAAAAATAAGGTATAAAGGCTTGTATGCTAAGTGACTCTTCATTTTGCTAAACAAGATTAACTTTCTTCCTTTCGAATTTATAAGGCTTGATTAAGTATAAGCATGCTTAATTCTTTAGGGAAGAGAATGTTTATTACTAAAAAGATGCTTTTAAGATAAAATCTACCCTTATTTGCACTATAAACTGACATTCATAAAGGATAAAAAGATTCTGACTTTCCTAATATTTGTATCATTTCTTACTTGTAGAATATGGTGGTGAAATTCACGTTGGTAGAGAAACAACATAATTTGTTTATTTAAATTAAATTAGGTAGTATAATTAAAAAGCAGCAAGTATGCATTTGTGTAAAGAAATAAGCAGATTCCTGTCTGATCAAAAGTTTGATAAAGATCTGCACTGCAGCAGGACATAGTACTAACACATTTATAATGATCACTGAAACTTTCCAGTTAGGGACAACTTCTGCAGCTTGGGTTGTGCTATTCACAATCACTTCAAAGCAGTCCATACTTTGGGAACATTTGTAACAATTGTGTTTTTTTCTTTTAATCAATAGAAAAATTTAAAAAATTTAAAGTGGAGGTTAGGGAGATAGCTTCTGGTAAAGTATTTGCTACACAAACATGAGGACCTGAGTTCAATCTCCAGAACCCACATTAAAAAAGCCAGAAGTGGTGTGTAAGCTAGAAATCTCAGTAATAGAGACGCAGAGACAGACAGATCCTTGGGGCTTGCTGGCTACCTAGCTTACCCTACCTGGGGAGCTCTAGGTCTAGTGAGAGACCTTGTCTCAAAAGGCAGGGTAGACAGGCTTTGATGAAGGGAAACAAATGAGATCCTTTGCTGTCCACATGCACATATATGTGTACCGGCACACACACACAAGCATGTACAAACACATTTTTTTAAAAAAAGTGACTATGCTGGATAGGTTTAGTTGTCAACTTGACATGCCTGGGTAGAGGGAACCTCAACTGGGGAATTTCCTCCACTGGACTGGTCTGTGGTCATGTCTGTGGGATATTTTCTTGATTTTTGAGTGATGTTGGAGAGCCCAGCCAACTGTGGGCAGTGCCACCCCTGGGTAGGTTGCTCTGTATTATATAAGAAAGCAGGCTGAGCATGGGCCAGGGGAGCAAGCCAGTAAGCAGCGTTCCTCCATGGCCTATGCTTCAGCTCCTGCCTCCAGGTTCCTGCCCTGAGTTTCTACCTTGGGCTCCCTGATGAACTGTGTGACCTGGGAGACAAGAGCCAAATAAACTCTTTCCTCCTCGAGTTGGTACTGGTCAGAGTATTTTTTCACAGCAATGGAGAAACAAACTAGAACAGTGACTCTGCTACATACCCAAAGGACTCATCCTACTATAGAGATATTTGTACATCCATTTTTGTTGCTGCTCTTTTCACAATAGCTAAGAAATGGAAACAACCTAAATGTCCCTCAACTGATGAATGGATAATGAAAATGTGGTACATTTACACAATAGAGTTCTACTTAAAAGTAAAGAAGACAAAATCATGAAATTTGCAGGTAAATGGATGGAACTAGTAACTGCTATACTAAGTGATGTAACACAGACTCAGAAAAACAAGCAATGTATGTTCTCCCTCACTTGTGGATCTTAGTAAAGGGAAAGAAAGAACCTGAGAGAGCTGATGGTATGAAACAGAGTCACAAAGGGGGAGATGGTGAAAATAGGGGTATTCAACTGGGAAGGGCATACAGAGAACCATGGGGGTAAAGGGAAAGAAGGAATTCAAGAGAGGGGGATTATAGGAGACAGGTATTATCAAGGGGAAAATGGGGGTATTTTAACTAGAGAGGGAAGAGGGAGGTTAGACAGGGAGAGAGAGAGAAGAGAGCTTAAAAAAAAAGCTTAGGTGGTGTGAAAAACCAGAGGGAAATGTAGTAACTCAAACACCTACTAAAAATACACATACAATACCTGAACATGAAGTGCATGTGTATACCTTTAGGATATACAACAAGAAACACAGGGTCAGCGAGGGGATACCTCCCTTCAACTTGGTCAGGATAGTCCAAGAGATTTTCAAAATAACACAGGCTATTACCACAGCTCTTGATTACCTCGCAGAACTTGAAGGTAAGACCCTACTGCTGAAGACAGGACATACTTTGGACACAGGATTTGGAGCAGTGGAGCTGGAACCAACCTGGAGGCCTCCTCCCTGAAGACTAGCTCTTATAGTTCTAGAGGGCTCTATGCAAGCTGCTAAAGGAGAAAATCAATCAATGGTCCAACCCGAACTTCAAAGTCTAATAACCACAACAATGACTGGCACAACAAACTATAGTGGTGCAGTAGTGGCACTTTTATCTTATGGGCAATCAACAGCTATCTATTTGGACTTAAAGCCCACTCATTTGGGAGGGAACTCATGGGTGGCACCATAAACAGAGCCAAATAAACATAGTTGGAGAGATCCTAGATCCTAGAGAAAACCCTATCTCTGTCATCTCTCTAGATAAATGAAATTTCTTACTGTATGCTAACTATGGATCCTTATATTTACATACAAGTATACCATGTACCACTCATCAAAGAAGCTTCTTTTTGCAACAGATGGAGTCTATTACAGAGTTCCACGACCACCCATACACAGAGAATATGTATCTGAAAGATGCCCAGCTCTATGTGATACATCTATAGCGGAACCTCTACACCTATGGCTAATGGAACATAGTGGACCAGGAGGTGGAGAGAACACTAATACCTCCCTTAATTCTCACCAGAGAAGCTTCCTCATGCAACAGAGTATGATGCACACGGAAGGCCACAACTGGCCAAGGTGCAGAGAATAAGAGACTGCAGAGTGCATGTTCCTGGATAGGACTCCTATATTAAACCTCACCCATCCATGACTCAGAGACCATTGTGGAAGAGAGGGTGGTACTCAGGGGGCTCTGAGTCAGCTCTGGAAGGTGGTGTCTTCCTTCAGCCACTCTCCATGTTGTGAGGTGAAGTCAAGGCCACATTTTTCTTATAAATGGGCAGGAGCTGCCGTGTGTTCTCTCAAGGTTACCAAGGAGAAACCATGCTCATCAGCTTCCTCAGGGAGCTAACCAGTGCTTTCAACACCACACGTTGTATCTTCATTTTCCTTCCTGCCTCCAACCCTACCTCTTACCCTTCAACCAACTGAAGACTGAAGAGTGAAGAACAGTTATCTTTAACTGTAAAAATATAGTTTCATATTTATACTTGAATTTACACTTCCCATACTGGTTTGAATAGTAAGTTACTGTAAGATGATTGTTATTTATTTTACAAGGCATTTTTTTGCCCTGAAATTTAAAGTCTCACCCAAGTCGTAGGAAGTGGGTATTATTTTACCACCATATTTTACTGGTGTGGAAACAGCTCTAGAGTTGAAATAACAAATCACATAGTTCCTAGTATCCTTTAAACTAAAGCGTAATGTAACGTATAAGGTAACATTTTTCCTTATATGTTGAAAGGAAATAAGACTTCCCAAGAACACACCCTTGAAAGTTGACTTGGCAAAACCAAAGAGTATTATCCCAATTTCTGCCCTCCTAAAGACAAATCTATTCCTTAGGGTTCAAGTTTCTCCAAACTATCCAGATCACTGTCAACAACTGAGATTTCCTCTCTGAATTTGGTAAACACCCCCTCTTCAAAACTGGTGATTTTCTTTTTGCTTTCCTGATTTAAAAAAAATGGCGTGGGGAGGGCAGAATGAATTCCTGGTCCAAAGAGAAGCATTTCACTGAATGAAGAAAAGGGATGACTGTAATCATGCAAGAGACCATGTCTCTGTTTCTGAATTCATTCTTGGTGCTCTGTCTGTACACACATTTATGGGAAGAAGAAGTACCATGGACACAAGAAATTATGTTCTCCATCAAACAGACTCACTCCTGCTTGTTACACTACATATTTTCATCATTGAGCACTGAGCCCAGGGCCTCAGGCTCTACCACTGAGCTATACCTAGAGCCCTGGCCCTCCTTTTTAAAGCCCAAGACTCATTTATACTTGTTCTGCATGGAGAAGCCCCTTATCCCACTGCATATTTGTTTTTACAACCTCCTTTCCCGTGATTCCTTTGGACCAGACCGAGGCAGTGTGTTGCTTACTACCTACTTTCCCTGCAGTGTTCTATTTACAGTGTCCTCAAGAGTTGCTTTTATCTGGGCCTCACTGTTATTCAATTTTATGGCATTACTGAACATACCCATCTAGGTATGGTAATGAATGTACCAGGAAAAGATAATTACAATAGGCAAGATTCTTGGAACCAACGGAGTTTTAATTGAAGCTGCACAACACTGAACAAATTATACAAATAACTAAGTACTTAGGACTTCAACAGATAAGCACAAATTAATTTTTTTTTACAAAAAACCTGCCAATATTTTTTCTTAAAATTATTATTTTTTGTCTTTCTAAGGCAAGGTCTCCCTGTATCCCCAGCTCTCCTGGAACTCACTATTTAGACCAGGCTGACCTCTAACTAACAGAGATTTGTCTGCCTCTGCCTCCCAAGTACTGGGATTAAAGGCATGCAGCACCACCACACCTAACTTCTTAAAATTAAAATTTAATTAAATTAAAAGTGTTTAACTTAAATACACATACAGAAAAGAGTGGAAGATAATAGACTCTGGCAAACATTAGTTATACATTCTTAAAGTTGGAAAGAAAAGATGAAGAGCCACTAAACATTGAGAAATAAAGCTGTCGAAAAGCCTGTGTGTTTCATTTAGAAGATATGAGGTTGTGACAGTGCACTTATAAACTTAGGATTTATCACAGGAACTGTCATCCCATCTGCCTTAGCATGGAAAGCAGACCAGAAGTAGACGGGGTTGCTCTGACAGATGCCAGCAAAATGATGCTGCCCATGGATGTGGCTGGTACAATACCGACAGCTATAAGAGGCTACTTACTGGGGAGAAACTTAGGCTACTAAGTA